TGTTTACCTTCAACCCTTTAAGACCCAGGTGCTATATCTTTTGATTGCCAGGCACTGTCAGTTTTCTTCACCACATTTGGTTATGCACACACTTGTCTTCAGCGATTGTGTCAGGAAGGTGAGTATCATGGAATGTTCGTTTAGTAGAGCACAGTGTTCTTGTATTGAGGGAGTACTTGTGTGGAGACCCAATGTCCCTCTGCTACCTTAATACTAAATCTATAGATATATGCACATAGATCTATTTCCCTATCATCATATATAAATATATTTACATATGTACATGACTATATTTAGGCCTCTATGTATGCCGTTTGCCTCCTACTTCTTTCCTCTTTTTCCTTTTACTTTCCTCTTGTCCCACTATCATGCTCAGCCTTCATTTGGGTTTCAGTAATTCCTCTTAATTACATTGCCCTTGATCACGCCCTACCAGGCCTCCTACACCCTCTTCTTGCCACTGGTTTTGAATCACTTATTGTTCCTTTGTCCCTGGGTTTGTTAAACCACTTCCCTTCGCCCCCCTCCCCCTCCCCATGTCTCCCCGGAACCATCAGTCCCATTGTTTTCTTTCCCACATTGTTTACCCATCCTATCTTATCTAGATAGACCTGCAGAGATAATAATATGCACATAAAAACTCGACAGCCGCAAACAAAGTGACACAGAAAAACAAAACGACAGTAGCAACAACAAAAAGCCAATGGCATAAAAATCTATAAGAAAAGAAGAAAGAAAGAAAGAAAGAAAGAAAGAAAGAAAGAAAGAAAGAAAGAAAGAAAGAAAAGTCTGTAAATAGTTCAAGGTCTGTTTGTTGACCTTTAGGAGTGTTTTCTGGTTGGGTCTGATGGGTTCCATGCCCCGGCCCCAAAGTTATTTTTGATACTCCCTCAGGACTTCCTTGTTCTGCTCCCCTTGCTGTTCTATTGCACGCCCTTAGTGTTTTGCCTCGGTGTGGTGGAGTCAGCTCGGTCACACATCCCACACTGTGTCTCCAGTGTTGTCCCATGTAGGGCTATGGGTCAGTGCGGGATGTCCATCTCATAGTGGGGCTGGCTATATGGTCTTCTCTGTGCATTGGCTGTGAAGAAGTCTTCTGAACTACAAGTATGTTTCTTCCTCTGTGATATGTCCTGGATCTATTTATACGTGTTAGTCACTCCCCTGTGGCATCTTTTCATGTTTGTTTATATATGCAGAGAGTAGCCATAGTATTGGAAACATCATGTTGTTTTTACATTTGGCTCTGTTCTTCAGATTGTACAGTGAGTAGTATTATTTGCATACTTTCTGTGATTCTGAAGATGGAAGGTGGTGACTAGGTCATATGACCATATCCTATTCTAATCAAGAGTTGTTGCCAAGAAAAAGTTAAACACTGCCCATGTCAAGTTCCCAGTCTTGAGATGGTGCCCTGAGTTCTTAGGGACATATCAGCTAATGACCAATACAGGTGCCATGAAGGGAGAGAGAAGAAAATATCCAAACATGCTTTGCCCACTTCTCTGAGCTGTCTTCACTAATTAATGGGCCTATGATCTTTTAAAACTAATCCTCTATGACAGTGGTTCTCAACCTGTGGGCCGCGACCCTTTTCAGGATCGAACGACCCTTTCACAGGGGTCACCTATGACCATCGGAAAACACAAATATTTCACAATTTATAATAATGTATTTTTTGTGATTAATCACTATGCTTTAATTATGTTTAGTTATGTTCAATTTGTAACAATGAAAATACATCCTGCATATCAGATACTTACATCACGATTCATAACAGTAGCAGAATTACAGTTATGAAGTAGCAACAAAAATAATTTTGTGGGTGGGGTCACCACAACATGACGAACTGTATTAAAGGGTTGTGGCATTAGGAAGGTTCAGAACCACTGCTCTATGACCATAAAGACAAGCAGGGTATGTCTCTTTAAGCCCTAGAGCTGCAAAGAGCTGATGAGCTTCATTTTATCCCACACTAATTTGCCCCAACCCAGGCTTACCTAATCTTGCCCTCCCTCGAAGTGGGCTTGTCCCCAGACATGCCAGAAAGGGGTGCCATGGCCCTCCATAGGACAAGATCAAGTCTCGAGGTCCAGGCAGGGATGAGGAGAGAACCCTCAACACATATAAATCATTCCTATCTGAAAGGAATCCAGTGTGGGAGCTTCATCTCTTTCAACTCTTATGCTGCAGGGAGTTGATGAATATTCCCTATGAGTTCAGTCTCACTTGCTGTAGCTCCCCCTCCCCCAGGTATGTTGAAGGAAAGATGCCACTGTTCTCTGTGGGCTTAGATTATGTCTCGGTGCCAGAAGAGTTGTGGGGAGTGAAGCGTTGGCCCATATTTTCCTCTCTTCCTCTGCTGAAGCATAGGGCAAACAATATGTGCTTTGGGGGCTCCTTAAGCTAACTTCCTCTTTCTGAATTGCCAGATTGTACCAGTACAGGTTTCTGTTTCCCAAGGAGGTTTAGAACTCGGGTTTTTTAGTCTGTTCTTTTTAAAAAAATTATTATTGTTGTTGTTACTTAGAGAGGGTATTATAGAGCTTCTGGCTATCTGCTGTTTCTGAAACTAAATTGCCTTTTTTCACTTTTTACAAGGGCACTAGTAGAGCCTATCCTATGACAGTATGTCTTAATCTTAACTGGTTACATATACAAAGATCCTATTTTAAACTGGTACCAAGAATTAGGACTTACATAGACATGGCTGGGGGCAGGGGCAGGGGTGGGGTGGAAACCACAAATAACCACATATGTTCAGCTTGCTCTTAGGACACTTTCCAATTGTTACTTTATTTATACCATAATAATTTTCACCAGTTTTGATTGTTTCACTAAGGAGAATATACATGGAAGTTCATGAAGCCATTCTGGAAATCTCCATGTAATGCATATTTTAAACAGTGATATACAGGGATACACTGCTGTCTAGAAAAGCTACACCAATGTATACTTCCGATAGTAATTCATGAAAATACTTCAGAGCCACATGTACATACTCAAAGAGTCACATAAGGCTCTCGAGTCACATTTTGCCAACCCCTGGCGTAGCAAAATTTATGTACACTATTAACCCTATTGAGTATCGATTTGACTAGGTTGACTATAGAAACAAATCTAGAGACACTCCTATGTGTAAGAAAGAGCTTTATATCAAAACGTACTTGTACAGTAGGAAAACATATCAGCCCAGTCCAGATCAAGTCCATAAGTCCGATAGTAGCCCATAAGTGAAATATTAGTCCATCAATCCCTTTTCAGACTCATGCAGTCACATCTAATGATGCAGAATGCAGGAAGACCACAGGGCAGTGGGTGCAACGTCTTGTGGATCCAGTGGCGGTGGAACCATCTCAGTGCTGGCAGGGGTCTCCACATTGCTCCTCCAGCTCTCTAAGTGTGGCTCTTTAACAGGAAGGTGCTCTTTAAGCAGGTCTCAGCAATTCTCTGCTTGCTTGTCAATAGGAAGTTGAAGGCAGAGAGAAGGGAGGTCGGCCTCCAGAGAGCCCTTTATCTCTGTTACCCTCCAATCAAGCTGCAACCTGATTGACAGGCTAAACTCCACCCTTTTATGCTTAAAAAAATCATTTTATTGGGGGCTCACACAGCTCTTATCATGATACGTACATGCATCCATTGTGTCAAGCACATTTGTTGCCATCATCATTTTCAAAACATTTTCTTTCCACTTGAGCCATTGATATCAGTCCCTCATTTTTCCCCTCCCTCTCCCACCCTCACGAATCCCTGATAATTTATAAATCACTAGTTTTTCACGTCATACACTGACTGATGTCTCCCTCAAGTTGACACAAAATTATGTACCACCAGTATTATCAACAGTTTAAATCTTTGCTAATCTAATACACAAAAAAATCTTATTCTTAGCAAACTTTAAGGAGTCTTGAGGTGAGATGTATCATTATGATTCCTAGGAGAGAGAGAGTTTTATAGAGATATAGGTGAATGTTTTATTGCTGTATTCTTTTTAGTTATTGTAGTTAATGATCACTAATTTAGTCAGGAAAGTGAAAAGTAAAAAGAAGTGGAAGCTTCCTGAAATGAAGCCACATTAAAATCATTAAAAAATGATTCCAGTAGAGGAAGGAAATGAAGCCACATGCTGCCTTAATGTTTTCCAGGAAAGCTCTCACTCCTACACCCGGGACACTTTGGAAGCGGGGATTCTACTCTGAATGACCCTTTTAGGAATCCTAGATGAAAATTAAGTAGTTATCTTTTCCAACTACCACGCTGTTGTAAAGTACTAATTAGTAACTGTTACATAGTGTTCAAAGATTACTGGGAACCTAACTAAGCACTAAATATTCGATCAGTTCAATGAAATACTCAGAAGATTTTGCTTCTGATAGCTTTCCATTGGCTTCAAATAACTGTCTGAACTGGTACAAATATCAGGTATGTAAATCTGTTTAAAGACCAGATTTTTAAAAATCTGTTTAAAAAATCATTGAAACATGGGAAACTTAACAAGAAGGGATGACTCATTCATACTCTATAGTTGCAGTAACTAACACAAAATTTAGCTGTTTTAATGCAAACACTTCAGTGTCACTTAGAACTTTCACAGTGCTGTGTAGTCACTATTATCTGCTTCTAAAACATTTAAATAACACCCAAAGGTCGATACCCATTATTATCTTTTTAAAAGAAATATAGAGTATAACAAAATTAATCCCTTATAATTTAAAGTTACATGACAGTCTAATTCAAAATATTAGCACAAAAGTGAAATTGCTAATTTGGATTTCTGAGCAAATAAAATTGATCCATTGTGAAAAGACCTTAATGTGAAGATCTCTATAGTAGCATACATTCTGGGTCTTGAAGAAATATAGGTGTTTCATGTATATAAGAAGGTAAGAAAATACATAGTTGCTTCAAACGCTGAAAGACACTGATAAATTTTCATAACCTATTGTCCATTAACAAACATTAAGCAATGGTAAATTGGTCTGTTGTATTGTATTTCTTAGGATGTTATTATTTCTCCCTGGCCTCCAAACACGGACTTCACTAGATAACCAAAAAGAGTCTGCCAGCAGAAGAAGAGGGCACAAGGGGAGACACCAACCCACCTACCCATGAAGACTTCATTGTTGCAGGACTGCGATTTCTTAGAAATACTGCACTAAAAGGAATTGTTTGGAAACACTCGGATTCTCTTCTTTCTGGTTTCTCATTAGATTATAAATTTACAAAATGATTCCAGTAGAGGCACAATTATTTTTCTGCATAAGAAAAAGTTCTTATTTCTGTTTTCTATATATCATTATAGCTGTATGCTTCTTTAATAGCTAAGAAATATCTAATAATAAAAATGCAAAAGATGTAAAATTTTCTTTCATATTCCTGTTATTTTCTAAATGTATTAAAATGTCTTCATCTCTGTTTAAGTGATTCCAGCCAAATCTGAAGCTGCTTGCATTGTGACTGTACAGTATATGACAAAAATTGGTTCATGGACTGTTTATACCAGATTTATATGTTATGCATTAATGTTTTCAACTGTGAAATTTTTGTTTTGTAATATTTGTCTAAAGTAGTAAATAAAAATATGAAAGTTATAGTTCATGTTATTTTTAAACTAAAATGTTCATTTCTGAATTTCCTATCCACTAATTCTAAAAGGGCCAAAGTTTGATTTCCTTTGGAGTTTTGATTGATATCTAGATTCTTTTGTATAGACTGGTCCTTAAAAAGGCCTACTTAAAGGTGACATACAAAGTTATGCCAATAATGTCCTAAGTAGGACAATATTTATATCAAACAGATAAGTACTCAACAGTTGGCTGAGATGTAGCTTGGTCCTGTTCAATCTATTGTAGTGACACATGTAAATTTAACAAAAGGAATTAAATTGATAGTCAAAGGAAATCTAGGATTGTTGTTGCTGTTCGGTGCTTTTGAATCATCCCTAACTCATAATGACTCCTCTATATACCACAGAACAAAACACTGCCCAGTCAGGACGGGCAACAGAAAAGTGGGTGAAGGGAGACATTGGACAGGGAAAGATATGACAAAATAATAATTTATAAATTATCAAGGATTCATGAGGGAGGGGGAAAATGAGGAGCTGGTGCCAGGGGCTTAAGTGGAGAGCAAATGTTTTGAGAATGATGAGAGCAATGAATGTACAAATGTGCTTTACACAATTGATGTGTGTATGGATTGTGATAAGAGTTGTATGAGCCCCTAATAAAATGATTAAAAAAAACACTGCCCAGTCAAGTCTCACCCTCAAGATTGTTATTTCATATTGAGCCCATTGTTGCAGCCACTGTGTCAGTCCATCCTGGTGGTCTTCCTCTTTCTACGGACCCTCTAACAAGGATGGAGGCCATTTCCCAGGAACGGTCTATTTAGACATGGCCTAAGTACTGGAGGTGAAGTCTCACCATCGTTGCCTTTGAGGAGCATTCTGGATGTATTTCTTTCAGATGTGTTCTTCTGGTAATACTTTCAATAATTTTGCCAATGCATCATTCAAATGCAACCATCGACATGCTTATGCGATGATTATAAATACCATGACTTAGTGCAGGCACACTTTACTCCTCAGAGTGACATCTTCTCTCTTTAACATGTTAACGGGTCATGTGCCTCAGATTTGCCCGGCAGCACATCATCTGATTTCCGCAGTGCTGCTTTCATGAGCGTTGACTGTGTGCCCAGCAAGATCAAATCCCTGATGACTTCCATCTTTTCAGATTACTGAAAGAAAATTATCTATATGAGAATTGTATTAATAGCTGGGTGTTCCCATATTTGTACATTTGCATTCATTGAAGAAATTGTTAACTCAGCATTTTAAAGTTGCTTTTTAAAAAAACTATAAATTTGCTACTGATAGAAAATTTGGGGGTTTTGTCTTGAGTTTTACATTTTAAAATCATTTTAATTAAAATATTCATTTTAAAATGTAATAAGCCATAGATCTTTAACCTGTAACTCCTTTTCAGAGCTCATTTACATGGGTCTTTGGGGATTAGCAGACTAAGGCACTGTAATTAAAGCAAGCAAGATTTACTTTGAAACGTCTTACCTCATTTAAACTGGTTACTACTGGAGAAATCCTAGATGACTTGTCCTGGTAATTTTTTATCTACTAGAACATAATGTATTATCATTTACATGTATATCTAACATATGTACTTGTTGGTATATTTTGTTTTAAAGGAAGAAAAAATAAAAACACTTTTTGATAAATAAAATTTAATAAAATTCTACACTTTGTTTTTCATGTAAATATTCTCACTGTCACAGAAAAGCAGTTAAAAAAACTATAAAGTATGTAAGTGGTTATAGACTTATTTACACAACTTCAATAAAATACTCAGTGATTTGAATATGTAGTGGTGCTTTTTGTTGCATATGGCATGCTATAACCATTCTGATAACTGTCTCAATTTCCACTGTTCCATTTTTAATTCTGCACTTACATGCTATATTTGCAAAAAAAGAAAGTTATATATATATATATACATATACATATATATTAAAGATCATTTTATTGGGGGCTCTTATAGCTCTTATAATAATCCATACATCAGTTGTATCAAGCATATTTATACTTATGTTGCTATCATTTTCTAAACATTTACGTTCTATTTGAGCCCTTGATATCAACTCCTCTTTTTACCCTCCCTCTCTGCTCCCACCCTTGTGATCCCTTGATAAGTTATAAATTATTATTAATTTCGTATCTTACACTGAAAGCTGCCTCCCTTCCCCAGCAGTTTCTTGCCCCCTCCTCTCCACCTTTCCCCTACCCTCCTGGTATTGCTACTCCCATTTCTGTTCCTGAGGGGTTTATCTGACCTTATTCCGTTTGTCCTAAGCTTTTATCTGTACCTGTGTACATGCTCTCGCCTAGCCCACAGTGAAAGGCAGGATTGGGGTCATGATAGTGAGAGTGAGGAAGCCTGAAGGAACCTGAGGAATATGTGTTTCATCAGTGCTATACTTCACCCTGGTTTGTTTTGGGTCTTCTGATGCCTGTTACCTGATCCTGTTGACACCTTGTGATCGCATAGGCTGGTGCACTTATTCCATGTGGGCTTGTTGCTTCTGTTCTAGATGGCTGCTTGTTTAACTTCAAACCTTTGAGACCCCAGACATATCTTTTGGTAGCTGGGCACTTCAGTTTTCTTCACATTTGTTTGTGTACTCATTTTGTCTTCAGCAATCATGCTGGGAGGGTAAGCATCACAGAATGCCAGGTTGTTAGAACAATGTGTTCTTGTGTTGAGAGGGCCTGAGCAGTGGCCCAAAGTCCATTCACTTCCTCAGTGTATTTCCATATAAATATATGTACCTATGCCAATACCTCTATTTTTATGAATTAATGTATTTACATATGTACACACCTATGCTTATACCTTTATCCATAGCTTTGCTTCCTAGATCTTTCTTGTTTCCTTTTACCTTCCTTTTGCCCCACCATCACACTTGCCCTTTTTCTGCTTCATAGTACTTCCTCTCAGCTAGATTGCTGTTGCTCCAACACCCCCAGGATCTCAATGTCCTCCTTTTTAATTTTAATTCCCTAGTTGTTCCCATGTATATGGTGTTGTTTGCGCACTGCTCCCTTCTCCCACCTCCTCCTCTCCCTAAGCCCCTCCTGAAGCTTCAGTCCCAGTGCTTTCTCCTTGAGCTTGCTTCCCATGCCTCTCCTATATAGGTAGGCAAACCAACAATAACATAGACAATACAAAAAAGAAAACAAAAACTTGAATGAAAAGAGGAAAAAATTTTTTAAATAATAAATAGCAAAAAAAAGAAAAAGTATAGATAATTTCAGGTCTGTCCACTGACCTTTATGACTATCTCCCCACTAGTCCTACGGTGTTCTGGGAACTGTCCCTCCTAGCCTGAAGTCTATTTTGGGGGCTCCTCTGGGGAAGAAAGCATTTAAATGTCAAATGTGACCGATAAATTATGGGCCCATATTTTACGGCCTTTAGAGGTAGTAAGACTGCCCCAGATATATCTGCAGTTCATTGCCTGGGAAAGCAAAGCAAATGAGATCACCTATGGGAATAATTTGTCAGGCTGTATGGCCAAAGAAGTTGCCCCCAAATAAAGCCTTCTGCGGGAGCTTATTCCCGGTATAGACATAAAAACTATTCCCCTAAGAAAGTTTCTTCAAGAAGAAACACATTGGGTAGGATTTCCTGGGAACATAAAAGATAAATAGGCATGTAGAGAAGGATTAACACACCTCTCACAAGGAATCCAAGTTGTTAAAGGCCTACATGATTGGAGCTGTTTTAGTAGCGAGAAAGTAACCCAGCTGTGGAAATAATTATTTACTGGGAAGGGATTGTCAAACATTATCTAATAATTCAAAGCTGTGCTCTTTCGGAGTTCAGGGTCAATATACCTCCAGTTGGTGGAGGCAGTTCAAGGAAGGGATACTCACCCTGGTCTATAGCCAAATGCCTCCATGTCAGGGACCTACATATTTATTATTTATTGACACCTTTACCAGGTGGGTAGAAGCATAGCCTATCTAAACAGAAAAAGCACACGAAGATGTTAATGTACCGATAAAAGCAATAATTCCTTGATTTGGACTTCCCCGTTCTTTACAAACTGGTAATGGTCCAATCTTTGTTCTAGATGTAGCTAAAAAAGTCAGTAGGACCTTAGGAATTTGCTGGCACTTGCAGCGTGGAGACCCCAATGATCAGGGAAGTTTTGATAGAACTAACCAAACGCTTGAAAGAACTTTACCAAACTGTCAAGAAACTCACTAAAATTTCAATAAAGCTTGCCCACTGCACTATTAAGAAAAAGGATAAGTCCAACTCCATGCGTAGGATTTGACCCCTTTGAGACCCCTGTATGATAGGCCTTTTACCTCAAATATCACTTTCCTTAGAGAGACCTCAGTAAGCCTGAACTGATGACCCAAAAGCCCAGTTTCATGGAATTGATTCAGACTTAGTGCTCCTCTAGGGTTTCTGAGACTAAACCATTGCTGGAGCAGAACACCTCATGTTTGAACTACCACCTTTGCAGCTCACAGCCCAACACTTGACTAACAGTGCCACCAGGGATCCTCTGCATGGGTGAGCTGTGGTATAATCCTATAGATTGGGGCCCACTCGCCCACTCACACTGATGCAAATTAATCCAAAGAGCGTGTTGCTCCCATTTCATCACAATTTGACTTTCAGTCCTAGTGACAGCTTCAGATTATTACAATTATTATTTGTATTAGGAACTTGAGGGTCAAAATAAGCTTTCAAGTTGGTTTGAAAGGTTTCATCACCACACCATCTTCTTCCCAGAGTACAAAGGCATGGAGAATGCTCCTCAGATGAGCTGCGTCATCTGGTCTGTGAACACAGGGTGGTGTGGGCAAAAGAGCTCTCACTGTCACTAGAGACGGAAAAACAAATTGAGACTAATGAAGGTACCCTGTTGCTTCCACAATATCTTGTTGATCTTCTGCTGGATCCAAGTACTCAATTTTCATCCCTCTGATTTTACTAACATATATTTCTCCATTCCCTCTCTGGCAGGGGGTGAAGCTGTGGATGACTAAACTAATATT